GACATGAATGGAAATTAGTGTATTGAATGCATATTTAGACTTCTTTTTGAAATAAACCTAGCAAAATGAGAGACATAGGGATGCTTATCTGACCACAGTGTAAACTATTTGTAGAAAGTTTTATACTTAAGAAGATACAATACCTTAATAATTCATATCTTGGCCTAAATTTTATGGTTCATTTGTATTGGGTGTACATGTCAGTTAATTAGGGTTCATCTGATCTTGACCTCATTTTCATGGCCCGTTGAGCAACGTTTAGTTTTTGTGGTTAGGTCTGTTTCTCAGATACTATAAACAACAGGTAAACTATATTTAGTGTATGGAATAAAGCTTGGTGCACATGTGTGTCTGTGTGGGTTCATCTGAATTGACTTCATTTTCATAGATCATTAATAAAGTTAATCTTTATCAATTATGTGATAGCTGTAGTAAACACTTTCAATATAAGATTCAAACATAATCAGTAATGCAGGTGAGACATATCTGCATGTTCACTCTTGTTTAGTTGGAAGGCCAGATCATGAGTTTAAATACTGGAAGAAATACAAATTTTTAGTAACTTTTATTGGAGAAAATGATAAAACCAGAAAATTGTGTCCCCTAGATAAGTTCTCAGCAACCCCAAAAAAATATGATATAAGTTTTTCTACTAAAACATTGCTGTGGTCCATGTGTTAACTTTGGACGGTAAAAAAATATAAAAAGATCCATCAAGCCATTAGAAACTGATTATAATATGAAAGATATGTTGAAATATGTTATGAACACTACAATCATTAAACATACACAGTCACGCAAATCATATATTCATATGTGGACCTTCATGTACAAAAGATAATGAAACATTGTCTGGGATCAAACTTCATTCTGTGGTGATATCAAATAACATTCATGGGTTTCTGACATTTATTGCAACAAATGGGATATTTATATTTTTCTTTGTAATCAATCTTAATAATATAGCATACAAGTAGAAGAGCCTGGAAGATTTCTTGATTTGTTAGCTTACCTGGCCCTATGAGCCATGTGAGCTATTGCAATCACTTGGCATCCATTGTATTAAATTGTTTTAAAAATCTCTGATAACAATGGACTGATTTCAACAAAACTTAAGCTGAATGATCCTAAGGGTATTTGGTATGAAATTTTTCACTCTTGTCAAACAATCAACATGACCAACATACCAACCTTGGAGAAAAATGAACACAAGGGTAAAATGTGTTGTTTCATATCTTGAAAACTTTAATATATTAAGGAAATATGAAGGAAAACAATCCTCAGAATGTCAATATCATGTCTAGTCCTGTAGTTATATTACATTTATTATTTATTGTTTATTAGGGTGTAACCTTGTTGACTAGTTGTCCCATCTGGTAGTTCATTTTCAGAACAAGTTAATAACATGGAACTATATATCTGGTTCACTGGTATAAGCCAGTAGTAATATATCAATGTTTTTGTCTACTGCATACAAGTCTATCTCAAAACTGTTATTAAAAAACGCAAACCACTGTACATATGACATGATGGTGAAGAGAAAACTTCAAAGAAAACAGATAAACAGCAACTAAGCAACCTGCAATAGACATTTAGTGGCAGAAACACATATATTTGAAGATGAACAAGATTTAAGCTATACGTAACCCAAATTACAAACCTTGACATGTACAGTAAACATCTACATATTAGTTATATTCTCAAGGTTTCCTTCATTATTTATATAATTATGGCTATCTGAGGTTCTCATCTGTTAAAACTGATTGCCATTTCTAAAGTTTGGCAGGGAAATGTTGCCAAGGAAATTAGTTACTGAAAAAATGTAATAAATTCCAAAAAAGTATTAACAAACCTAACAATGGCAAAGTATGAATCAAATTCCTTAACCTGACTTGTATTGTGTTCAGTCTTTTATTGCACTGTGAAATATTATTCATATACAATATACATGCATCTTTAAATATATCACCCCACTAAGTATAGTAGTGGATGGGAAAATGGAATCATTTTAAGTGTGATTGTGTTACATGGTGTCATTAACAAAGGTAAAACCATGAGAAATATAAAAACATTATTAATTGGTATCATTCCTATCAGATCTACAAATAAATTGTTTTTTCATATCTGTTCATTACCTGAAACAAATGGTTTGCTGATGATAACTTCAGTATTCTTTGCTTAATTGCTTTAATTACTTACACAGATGGAAGATATAGCAAATGAGAGAAATCTATTTACTTTAGAGTCAATGGGTCAGAAGTCAAGGTCACTGTTCGGAAATATTGAGAACTTTTTATTCCCCAATAAAGGGGCATTAAGTGTTACCCTTTTCTGTTTGAATGTCTGTCCGTACCTGAATTGGTTTCCATTTCTAAAGCTCTAGCTTTAGTTTGCTTCAACCAAATGTTATGAAACTTATACACAATGCTTATGACCACAAAACACAAATCAAGTTTGAATTTGGGTGGTGTCACCTTTACCGTTCTAGAGATGCTTTTTATTCGACTGCAAAAAATATTTGCGGTCGTATATTGGTATGACGTCGGCGTTGTCGTCGTCCGAAGACACATTGGTTTTCGCACTCTAACTTAAGTTTAAGTGAATGGATCTCTATGAAACTTTACCATAAGGTTCAATACCACAAAAGGAAGGTTGGGATTGATTTGGGGGGTTATGGTACCAACAGTAAAGGAATTAGGGGCCAAAAATAAGCATTTTTGTAACTTCCAGACATAACTTGTGTGTTAGTGTATGGATCTCTCTGACATTGTACCACAAGGTTCCATATCACACAGGGAATGCTGGGATTGATTTTGGGGGTAATTGCCTCAAAATATCAGGAATTAGGGGCTAAAAAAGGGGCAAAAAACAAGCATTTTTCTAGTTTCATGACAATAACTTGTGTGTAAGTGTATGGATCTTTCTGAAATTGTACTACAAGGTTCCATATCACAAAGGGAAAGCTGGAATTGAGTTTGGGGGTAATTGCCCAAAACGTTTAGGAATAAGGGGCCAAAAATGGGCCAAAAATAAGCATTTTTCTAGTTTCCAGACAATAACTTGTGTTCAAGTGTATGGATCTCTTTGAAATTGTACTGCAAGGTACCATACCACAAAGGGAAGGCTGGGATTGAGTTTGGGGGTGATGAATCATAAGGGGGTTCAAAAAATTTGGGGGGGGGGGGGGGGTTTCCTTTTTTTCCTATTTTTTTTCTTTTAAAATTTTCCATTTTAAGTTGGTTATTTCTGTTTTATATTTTAAAGCAAATAATAATGATATGGTAGGAGATACACACCAAACAGGATGTGTAAATTATTATATAATAAGTATTGTGCAATAGCAAGAAATTTTCAATTGCACAGTATTGCACAATAGCAATAATCTTCAATTGCACAGTATTGCGCAATAGCAAGAAATATTCAATTGCACAGTATTGTGCAATAGCAAGAAATATCCAATAGCACAATATTGCGCAATAGCAAGAAATTGTCAATTGTACAGTATTGCGCAATAGCAAGAAATATTCAATTGCACAGTATTGTGCAAAAGAAGATACTTCGTATAAATTGCTTATTTCTTGACCAATTTCAATGGGGTTTTATTCTTGAATTCTTGGGGTTCTTTAATATGCTGATTCTAATCGTGTATTAAGTTTTTGGATTTTGGGCCCCATTTTTAAATTGGTCCACATTGAGGTTCAAAGGGTCCAAAATTTAACTTTGTTTGAATTCATCAAAAATTTAATTATTGGGGTTCTTTGATATGCCGAATCTAACCGTGTATTTAGATCCTTAATTTTTGGTTCCGTTTTCAAATTGGTCTACATTAAGGTCCAAAGGGTCCAAAATTAAACTTAGTTTGATTTTAACAAAAATTGAATTTTTAGGGTTCTTTGATATGCTGAATCTAAACATGTATTTAGATTTTTGATTATGGGCCCAGTTTTCAAGTTGGTCCAAATCGGGGTCCTAAATTAAACTTTGTTTGATTTCAACAAAAATTGAATATATGGGGTTCTTTGATATGCTGAATCTAACCATGTATTTAGATTTTTGATTTTTGGGCCCCGTTATCAACTTTGTCCATATTGAGGTCAAAAGGGTCCAAAATTAAACTTTGTTTGATTTCATCAAAAATTGAATTCTTGGGGTTCTTTGATATGCTGAATCTAACCATGTATTTAGATTTTGGATATTGGACCATAATAGGTGAATGTCCAATTTAAAATTTTTAAGTTCTTAGACCACATTCATTCTGTGTCAGAAACCTATGCTGTGTCAAATATTTAATCACAATCCAAATTCAGAGCTGTATCAAGCTTGAATGTTGTGTCCATACTTGCCCCAACTGTTCAGGGTTCGACCTCTGCGGTCGTATCAAGCTGCGCCCTGCGGAGCATTTTATTATTACTTGTTTTGTACTATTATTGACTGAAGTGATTGATGGCTTCACCAATCCAAGGGAAATTGGCTCCTACAGTGGCCTGTGCAAGTAAAAAGTCAAGAAATTACTGTCAATATATTCAAGTTTTCTTCTACACCTTGTATAAAGCAATTAATGCTTTTGCTTTGTCTATTTGTTCATGAATTGTATACTCTTGCTTGTTCATTGCTTTTGTGTTGTTTGTAACTCTGTGGATGACATGTTCCCTGCATGTATGTTGTGTATATGATACTGAATGACATGTTCCTCCTTGTATGTTGTGTATGTGTTACTGAATGACATGTCCCCTACTTGTATGTTGTGTATATGTTACTGAATGACATGTTCCCTACTTGTATGTTGTGTATATGTTACTGAATGACATGTTCCCTACTTGTATGTTGTGTATATGTTACTGAATGACATGTTCCCTGCTTGTATGTTGTGCATATGTTACTGAATAACGTGTTTCCTGCTTGTATGTTGTGTGTAAAGGTTACTGAATGACTTGTTCCCTGCTTGTATGTTGTGTATGACTCACTGAATGACATGTTTCGTCCTTGATTATTTGTTTTAGATCAGAATTTTCTAAGAAACTGAACAGGTATGTGATTGCCACGAGTTACTCCTAACATAGCATGTTCCTAGACTAACTTAGAAAGCTGTAATTTAACTTTTATATCATTAACAATGCTAGCTTGAACATTCCCAGTGGATCAGATCATACAGATTTATGACTTAAAAGTGTTGCTATCTATTTCCCACTTATATCAAATTAATTGCACCAATCACGGTTGTGGATCTGCACAAATTATAGGATACATATATATGTTTGTATTAGCTCATAAGGGCTGATTGATTTTTGTCTCGCGACAAAAGTCGAATTCAAGACATGGGAATTACAATTTGGCGGTTTGCGGCGGCGGCAGCGGTGTAAACTATTTGAAATAAGCTTTATATTTCAGAGGCTAGTAGACCTAGAGGCTTCATACCTTGTACATAGATGCTTTATGTAATGAAATATGCTTCCGTCATATGTCCCTTGTCCTTAGTTTATTTTTATTCGTTATGTGAATTTCTCACTATGAGTAATAGGATAAATATATTTGGTATATGGGTTCCTTGCAAAGTCTACATGTCTGTCAGGCAGGGTTCAGATGACTTCGACCGACCTCATTCCACGGATCACTAATCCAGGTAAAAATTACATGATTATGTCCATTGCTCTGATACTGTAAGCAGTAGGTTAACTTTATTTGGTACATGTTTGGCATGTTTCATCTGACCTTGACCTCATTTTCACAGTTCATTGGTCAATTTTAAGTTTTTGTGTTATGGTCTGTTTTCTAATACTATGAGCAATAGGTCAACTATATTTGGTGTATGGAATGATTGTAAGGTTTACATGTGTGTCTGGTAGGTATCATCTGTCCTTGACCTCATTTTCATGGTTCATTGGTCAATGTAAAGTTTTCCCAATTAAGTCTGTTTATCAGTTACTATATAAGGCAATAAGGTCAACTACATTTAAAGTGAGGAATGATTGTAAGGTCTACATGTTTGTTTGGCAGGGTTCACCTAACTTTGGCCCTTTTTGTCGAGCCTTCGACTTTAGTCGAAAAAGCGAGACATAGCGATCCTACATTCCGTCGGCGTCGCCAGCGGCGTCCACAAATATTCACTCTGTGGTTAAAGTTTTTGAAATTTTAATAACTTTCTTAAACTATCCTGGATTTCTACCAAACTTGGACAGAAGCTTGTTTATGATCATAAGATAGTATCCAGAAGTAAATTTTGTAAAAATAAAATTCCATTTTTTCCATATTTTACTTTTAAATGGACTTAGTTTTTCTGCCAGGAAATATTACATTCACTCTGTGGTTAAAGTTTTTAAAATTTTAATAACTTTTTTAAACTGTCCTTGGTTTGTACCAAACTTGGACAGAAGCTTGTTTATGATCATAAGATAGTATCTACAAGTAAATTTTGTAAAAAAATAAATCCATTTTTTCCTTATTTTACTTTTAAATGGACTTAGATTTTCTGCCAGGAAACAACACATTCACTCTGTGGTTGAAGTTTTTATACGACCGCAAAAAAATTTTTGTGGTCGTATATTGGTATGACTTTGGCGTCGTCGTCGTCGTCCGAAGACACATTGGTTTTCGCACTCTAACTTTAGTTTAAGTGAATGGATCTTTATGAAATTTTACCACAAGGTTCAATACCACAAAAGGAAGGTTGGGATTGATTTTGGGGGTTATGGTAATAACAGTAAAGGAATTAGGGGCCAAAAATAAGCATTTTTGTAACTTCCAGACATAACTTGTGTGTTAATGTATGGATCTCTCTGACATTGTACCACAAGGTTCCATAACACTAAAGGAATGCTGGGATTGATTTTGGGGGTAATTGCCTCCAAATTTTAGGAATTAGGGGCCAAAAAAGGGGCAAAAAACAAGCATTTTTCTAGTTTCATGACAATAACTTGTGTGTAAGTGTATGGATCTTTCTGAAATTGTACTACAAGGTTCCATATCACAAAGGGAAAGCTGGGTTTGAGTTTGGGGGTAATTGCCCTAAACGTTTAGGAATTTGGGGCCAAAAAGGGGCCAAAAAACACATTTTTTTCTAGTTTCCAGACAATAACTTGTGTTCAAGTGTATGGATCTCTCTGAAATTGTACTGCAAGGTACCATACCACAAAGGGAAGGCTGGGATTGAGTTTGGGGGTGATGAATCATAATGGGGGTTCAAAAAATTTTGGGGGGGGATTTATTTTTTTTTCCTTTTTTTTCTTTCTTTCCTTTTTTGTTTCTTTTAAAATTTTCCATTTTAAGTTGGTTATTTCTGATTTATATTTAAAATCAAATAATAATGATATGGTAGGAGATACACACCAAACAGGATGTGTAAATTATTATATAATAAGTATTGTGCAATAGCAAGAAATTTTCAATTGCACAGTATTGCACAATAGCAAGAAATCTTCAATTGCACAGTATTGCGCAATAGCAAGAAATCTTCAATTGCACAGTATTGCGCAATAGCAAGAAATATCCAATAGCACAATATTGCGCAATAGCAAGAAATTGTCAATTGTACAGTATTGCGCAATAGCAAGAAATATTTAATAGCACAGGATTGTGCAAAAGAAGATACTTCCTATAAATTGCTTATTTCTTGACCAATTTCAATGGGGTTTTATTCTTGATTTCATGGGGTTCTTTAATATGCTGAATCTAACCGTGTATTTAGTTTTTTGGATTTTGGGCCCCATTTTTAAATTGGTCCACATTGAGGTCCAAAGGGTCCAAATTAAACTTTGTTTGATTTCATCAAAAATTGAATTATTGGGGTTCTTTGATATGCCGAATCTAACTGTGTATTTAGATTCTTAAATTTTGGTTCCGTTTTAAATTGGTCTACATTAAGGTCCAAAGGGTCCAAAATTAAACTTAGTTTGATTTTAACAAAAATTGAATTCTTAGGGTTCTTTGATATGCTGAATCTAAACATGTATTTAGATTTTTGATTATGGGCCCAGTTTTCAAGTTGGTCCAAATCGGGGTCCAAAATTAAACTTTGTTTGATTTCAACTAAAATTGAATATATGGGGTTCTTTGATATGCTGAATCTAACCATGTATTTAGATTTTTGATTTTTGGGCCCCGTTATCAACTTTGTCCACATTGAGGTCAAAAGGGTCCAAAATTAAACTTTGTTTGATTTGATCAAAAATTGAATTATTGGGGTTCTTTGATATGCCGAATCTAACCGTGTATTTAGATTCTTAATTTTTGGTTCCGTTTTCAAATTGGTCTACATTAAGGTCCAAAGGGTCCAAAATTAAACTTAGTTTGATTTTAACAAAAATTGAATTCTTAGGGTTCTTTGATATGCTGAATCTAAACATGTATTTAGATTTTTGATTATGGGCCCAGTTTTCAAGTTGGTCCAAATCGGGGTCCAAAATTAAACTTTGTATGATTTCAACAAAAATTGAATATATGGGGTTCTTTGATATGCTGAATCTAACCATGTATTTAGATTTTTGATTTTTGGGCCCCGTTATCAACTTTGTCCACATTGAGGTCAAAAGGGTCCAAAATTAAACTTTGTTTGATTTCATCAAAAATTGAATTCTTGGGGTTCTTTGATATGCTGAATCTAACCATGTATTTAGATTTTGGATATTGGACCATAATAGGTGAATGTCCAATTTAAAATTTTTAAGTTCTTAGACCACATTCAGTCTGTGTTAGAAACCTATGCTGTGTCAAATATTTAATCACAATCCAAATCCAAAGCTGTATCAAGCTTGAATGTTGTGTCCATACTTCCCCCAACTGTTCAGGGTTCGACCTCTGCGGTCGTATCAAGCTGCGCCCTGCGGAGCATTTTATTAAAATTTTAATAACTTTCTTATACTATTTTGGATTTGTACCAAACTTGGACAGAAGCTTGTTTATGATCAAAAGCTAGTATCTAGAAGGAAATTTTGTAAAAAAATAAATCCATTTTTTCTGTATTTTACTTTCAAATGGACTTAGATTTTCTGCCGGGAAACAACATATTCACTCTGTGGTTAAAGTTTTTAAAATTTTAATAACTTTCTTATACTATTTTGGATTTGTACCAAACTTGGACAGAAACTTGTTTATGATCAAATGCTAGTATCTAGAAGGAAATTTTGTTTTCTTCCAGTTAACATTACATTCAGTCTGCAGTTAAAGTTTTTAAACATTTATTAGATTCATAAACTATCCTGGATTTTTACCAAACTTGGACAGAAGCTTCTTACAATCAAAAGAAAGTATCAAGAGGAATATTTTTATTGATTTACTTCCTCATTTTTGTTGAGCCTGCGATAAACAGAAAAAGAAGGCGAGACACTGGGTTCCACGGAACCCTTACGAATTTTTAAATGGTTCATTGATCAACATTATTAAAGTTTTCATGGTTTGGTCTATTTCTTGTATACTATAAATAGTAGGTCAACTTTATTTGGTGTATGAATTGATTGTTAGGAGTATGTGTCTATCAGACTTGTTTTATCTAACCTTGACCTTATTTTCATGGATCAATGATAATGTTTAGTTTATGTGATACTTGTAGTAAAACTTTATCTTAAGGACTATCAACGTAAAATAAATCATGAATAGTAAAAGATGACTCTGGTGTTGTATGCTGTCTTTAACTTACATTAATATTTATGTTTGCAAATTGAGTTTATCTTATATTAAAATATCAGGTGAGTGATGCATAGTCCTATGAATAGCTCTGATTTTTGTGTATCAATAGTGTCCTATATACTTATAAGGTTTTATATATATATATATATCTAATCACTAAAAATAGCCAACTCTTTTCTGACTTTGTTGTAATGCCATCCTCATTTAATATTGCATGTTTCCATTTACTACATAACTGCGTACCCAAAACTCCACATTGCCCTTAATTCCTCATTGCTTAATGATATTCAGAGGTATTTGGACATTATCATAGATCAAATTCTGCTTTTTATCTTTTTTTATGCCCCCGCCATTAAGTTTTACCCTTGTCCGTCTGTACGTCCCGAAATTGGTTTCCATTCTCTAACTT